TGGAGGGTGCTAGCTATGAAGAGAGGTTGAGTAGATTAGGATTATTTACATTAGAAAGACGGAGGTTGATGGGGGACCTGATTGAGGTCTACAAAATCATGAGAGGTATAGACAGGGTGGATAGCAAGAAGCTTTTTCCCCCAGAGTGGGGGACTCAATTATTAGCGGTCACGATTTCATGGTGAGAGGGGAAAAGTTTAAGGGAGATATGCGTGGAAAGTTCTTCACGCAAAGGGTGGTGGGTGCCTGGAACGCGTTGCCAGCGGAGATGGTAGAGGCAGGCACGATAGCGTCATTTAAGATGTATCTAGACAGATACATGAATGGGCAGGGAGCAGAGGGATACAGATCCTTGGAAAATAGGCGACAGGTTTAGATAGAGGATCTGGAGAGAATAGGTCCCCTTAAAGATCAGCATGGCCATCAGTATTTACTGAGGAGAGAATCATAGATGCTAAGGAAATAAGGGAAACAAGTGGGGATGTTTTGGGCCGCGTACGTATTACCAGAGAGGTGGTATTGGCAGCCTTAGATCGCATTAAGGTGGATAAATCCCCTGGGCCTGATCAAGTCCATCCTCTGATGTTGTCGGAGGCTAGGGAAGAAATTGCAGAGGCCGTCGCAGAGATTTTTGCTTCATCTTTAGCCACTGGTGAAGTTCCGGAAGACTGGAAGGTAACTAATGTGGTTCCATTGTTGAAGAAAGATAGCAAAGACAAGCCAGGGAACTACAGGCCAGTGAGCCTGATATCAGTGGTAGGCAAGTTATCGGTGCTGGGACCTTTGTTCTTTGTTATTTACATAAATGATCTGGATGTGAATGTACAAGGCATGATTAGTAAGTTTTGTGGATGATGCAAAATTAGGAGGTATCGTTGATAGCAAGGAAAGTTATCAAAAATTACAGAGGGATCTTGATCAGGTGGGGAAGTGGACTGAGGATTGGCAAATGCAATTCAATACAGATAAGTGTGAGGTGTTGCACTTTGGAAAGTCAAACCGAGGTGGACTTATACAGTAAATGGTGAGGAGTATTTTGGAACAGAGGGACCTCGGAGTACAAGTACATAGTTCGTTGAAAGTGGTGTCACAGGTGGACAGGATGGTGAAGAAGGCATTTAGCATGCTGGCCTTCAGTCAAGGCATTGAGTACAGGAGTTGGGACCTTATGTTATAGTTATAAGGCATTGGTGAGGCTGCCCTTGGAGTATTGTGTACAGTTTTGGTCACCCTGTTATAGGAAAGACATAGTTAAACTGGAAGTGTGCGAAGAAGATTTATGAGGATGTGTTCAGGGACTAGTAGGCCTGAATTATAGGGAGAGGTTGGCCTGAATAGGACTTTATTCCTGAGAACATGGAGAATGACAGGTGACCTTGTTGAG